TATAATACGTACAATAATTATAAATTCAAATATACAAAAATCCCATATATAAAAATATTATATAAATTAAAACAATAGTAATTTTAATATACTTTAACAGTGAGTCAACGTGATAACAATAATTCACTCATATATATATAAGATTCTACACTATTAATTTAAGAGGACATATTTTTGTTAACACTAATAAAATAAGATACATATGTATATATATATATATATTTTATATAAATGAAAGTAACAGAAAAAGAAAAGAAATATGGCTGTAAATAATTGAAATAGTACGTAATGTTATGGATTATATCAGCCGCTTTGGAACGTCGATAGACGTGACGTATCATAAATATTAATTATATTAATTAATTAGTTAATTACGATTACTTCTACTTAACCATATTAATTATAATATCACACGCACAGCACACACTAAAATGACAAGCAATTATTAATATATTAACAAAATATAAACCTAATTAATTTGGAGTTCATATGATATATTACTAGTTCCGTACTCGTGTTAGCGCGCATGGTTTATAATTAATTAAAATAAAATATTAAGTCAAAATATATAAATATATCTATAGTAATAGATCAATTTTAATAGATTATATTTTCACCTGTTTGAACTAGACAATAAATTTTAATTTTAGAATTATTTAAAGAATGATATATATATATATTATATACTTTTATATAGAGTATTTTATATGAATTATAATGTAAATAAAGAATACATGTAGCGCCCTGTCCTAAAGATGGAACCGATACCATAACCTTTCATTTCATTTCAAAAAAAAAAAAAAATTCATCATGCAACGAATTCCTACTATTAAATTCAAAAAGCAACAATAATTTCCTTTTAAATAAGCACCTAGAGAGTAAATGATTAATCTGTATAAATTAATATTACAACAACTCTAGTTTTGGTATTGATAAAACATATACACTCATGTATATCAAGAGAGCATTTTATACTAACGGTCGTCCCTTTCTTAAGTGTGGTGCTTTATTGCTAGGCACTCTTTTTCCGACTTCTGATCTAACATATCTGGAAACAAAAGTAATTAGTATCAATAAGTCCAGTAAGATAAATGTAGAGTTTAAGATTAAAATTATGGAAACTAAGAAATTTTTCATCCCGACACTCCTCATTTAAATTATCTACACCCTGCTTCCCCATACTCCCCTCTCTATAATAGAATAACCATTCCCCTAGAGAATTCGTTCCCTAAATCCACTCAATTAGACCTACTGCTTACTCATACTCTCAATTTGCTGCTCACATCAAACACCAACATTCCTAACACACCATTCTGCCACCCACAGCCATCGAGTGACCATCACCCCACATATCATAACACCAGAATACACACACGCATACCCTTCATTTCCCCTATACTATCACCCAATGTCAGCAGTAACTGGTCCCGAAGGGCTACACACACACACACACAGTTCACCTATAACCATTACTTTACTTCAGTATCAGACCTAATTGGTCTCCATAGACCACACACCCTCATCTTACTACACCTTCGGCTTGGAGAGGCCACTCACACACACACCAATCGGTCAATTGTCTATTTTCAAACTTGGAATAATAGGTTGTGAAGACCACACATACACGCTCTAGCCCACACCAACACCGGTAATGTCTGGCCTAAAGAGGTCACACACACACAACAACCAGTCAGTTATCTATTTCAAAACCTGGAACAACGGCCTATCCAGCCCACACCAACATCGATAATGTCTGGCTTAAAGAGGTCACATACACACACACCAACCAGTTAATTATCTATTTCAAAACCTGAAACAACGGCCTGTGAAGACCACACATACACGCTCCAGCCCACACCAACACCGGTAATGCCTGGCCAAAAGAGGCCACACACACACCCCAACTAGTCAGTTATCTATTTTCAAACCTGGAACAATGGTTTGTGATGACCACATATACACGCTCTAGCCCACACCAATACCAGCAATGTCTGGCTTAAAGAGGCCACACACATACTCTTGCTAATCCACCTCAATCTTAACTAAAACCAACAGCTTGTAAAGGCCACACGTACACACATGATACCGTACAAAATAACCTCCAACTAGCAACTCTTGGTCGGTGAAGGCCTTTCACAAATCCTCATCTAACTATCAAACACTAGCCGTAAAGGCCACATACACACTCACGCAAACCAGATCATAAAAACACACACTCAACACTGCAATACTTGGCCTGTAGCAGCCACATATGCATACGCTAGGTACAACATTGAATGACGCTGTCACACTCAGCTTGTAAAGGCCACACACGCACACAGACCTCTTCCCTTACCTTCGTCGCACCAGAGCACCCAACATAACTCTTCTACTCTGATTCCATGAACTTATCCTAACTTATACAACTCCCGTTCTCTCTATAACGTCTCCCGACTACTTCTAGTCGAGCTATAACAATTATTTTCACAATCGGTACTACTCTCATTCACACTCGGCCTAATGACTTCAACTGCATCCCTCCTCCCTCACTCCTGATCACAGAACTCAAACTGAAACAGCTCAAAAACTTCAAAGGAGATAAATTATAAATTTAGTGTGGAAGCGAAATAAATATTTTGGGTTTACATTCCTTATACAATAATTCAGATTACCCAATAGAAGTATGAAAATGAAATTTTTAAAAGAAATAACAAAAAATTAAAGATATAAATGGAAAATAAACAATTAGGCATCCTACTCACAACTCTTTTGTGGATCGAGTTTTGGATCTTGATCCTAATGGTTAATAAAAGAATGAGTTACTCTAGGTCAGTAAGAATATCACGCTACTCACCGACACAGAAATGAAGGTTGATAGAAATCATAAAAATAACTAATGGAGCTCCTAATTTAAATAAATTCATTTATCATGAATAAAATCATTTACCCATACTTATTGTAGCGGGATTTCCAAAACTAACCTATAAAGTCAATGACATAAACAATATTAAAATCTTATATTTAATCAGGCAGAATAACGACTTTCTCTTTTATCAGCCTACTGGTATCCATGGAGGTCCATAAAGATGTCCCCACTACGCGTGAACCTTTATTCAACATTTTTAATTAACGGGCCATCTCCATACCAAGTTCAGTACGAGTGCCAAACGATACCATTTCTCAATACCCCGTCCGGTATGAGGGTGAAACGGGTCGTCCCCATACTCCGTCTGATATGGGCGCCGAATTACTAATTCTCGATACCCAGTTCGGTATGAGGCAACATTCACGGTAAGGTTCCATATGTTCCGGTTCGTCCACCATCTCCCAGGATATCCAGTAATGCTCTCGTTCATCCATCCACTTAATCAAACAATTTTTCATTTACCTTTAATTTTTAATATTTCAATTTAATTGCAATCACGTAAAAACAAGCAATACATGAATCAGAAAAATATAATCACATCATCATACCAATTCCAGTTTATTATCATGCATTCGAAAACTGTAAAATCAGGCAATCAGTTAAACATAACAAACCATAATAAGTAACCGATTCCGACTCCATTAGTATTATGTAATTAATTATGAATATTTTTAAGTTTCACAAAATACCGTATTATTTAAAATTAAATTTCAATTCCATAACAGAGAATATAGTGAGAGATTCTTACTCAAATTGTTGACTAAACGCTAAGTTTTTTTACTGCGCCTATAGACAGTTCCTGGGTTCCCTGAATTTTTCTTTGGAGATTAAAACACGCTTGAAATACTTAGAAATATCCTAAAAAACTCAAAATTAGTGTTAGAAATCCTTTTTGGCCAATTCCAGAATTCTGACATGGCGGTTCTGTCGTGCCTCCAGTGACGACATTGCCCCCCGCATCAGTGGTTTGCCTCGGGTTGGCTATTTTAGCTGGTTTTGTACCAATCTTTGTGAGAAAATATGTTAAGGGACCTCAGTTGGCAAAAAAAAGTCAAAAAATCGAAGCTTACCAGCGGTGGGGTTCTCCGGTACGACGGCTCTGCCAGCTCATCTTCGCAATTAGGTGTTTTACTTCGGTCAACCTGTAAAGAAAGGGATGGTGATTATAATGATGGAAAAATTATACGAAATGGGAATCGGGAAGGGCCTCATTGGAGGCAATTTTTACTTTTTTTTGCGACGGTGCTGCCGAATTTTACCTGCGGTTTCTGGCTCATCCACCGGTCCTTTTACTCTGATTTGGCCATGGGGTGTTTAAAATTGAATTTCAAGCAAATAAAATTTTTTTACCTCTTTTGACGGTTGGAAGTGACTCCGGCGCAGCGGCAAAGGCAGTCGACTCTCTTTCCGGCGACTGACTCTTCTTCTCTGGTAGGAGGGTCTGGCAGGTAGGGTTAAAGTTTGATGTAGATAGGGTTATTTACATCCATCTCCTTTTAATCTGGACAATTCATTGTATTTGATATAGATCGTCCGATTGTGTTTAAATAGGGAGTGAATTTGGACTGTTCGTTGCAATTTGATCTGAACCATCCGATCGCGTTTAAAGGGGA